ATCTTTGTAATGATAAATAAGTAAGTCTTTTTTTTTTTTTTAATTATAGTACCATGCTATACTTTATATTTTGAGTATATTCTTTTTTTTTTAATTGGAGAATGATTCCTTTACAATATTTTATTGGTTTCTGCCATACAACAACGCAAGTCCTCTAATTAATTAGTTGTCTATAAGTTGTATGTGTACATGTATTGAAGTGCTAAATAAGGTGCACTTGGATATAAATCCACATATTGCAGTTACACAGTTTTCAACTAAAATCTAACATATTAATTGTGCCTGTTATTCCTTCAACTGGTTCATTAGTTACATTAACAAAAAGACATTTGGGAATTTCCTAGTTGTCCAGTGGTTAGGACTCCATTCTTTCACTGCTGTGGGTAAGGGTTCAGTCTCTGGTCAAGGAACTAGGCTACCACAAGCTGTGAGGAGAAGCCAAAAGTTGAAAATAAAGACATTAAATCATGTGGTAGAATTTGGGGTGAAATAAATTGTTTTCTAAAAGGTACTTTTCTAGGCATTCCAAAACAAGTTTTACAAAATAATAGGTGTTTTAAAAGGCATTAAGTGAATACCAAAAATGTCTAAGAATTAAATCAGAACTATGCTTCCCAGATGGCAATAGTGGTGAAGAATTGGCTTCCCAGGTGATGCTAGTGGTAAAGAACCTGCCTGTCAATGCAGGAGAGTTAAGAGACGTGGGTTCAATCCCTGGGTTCACTCCAGTATTCTTGCCTGGAGAATCCCGTGGACAGAGGAGCCTGGTGGACAGTCCATGTGGTCACAGAGAGTAGGACACAACTGAAGCGACTTAGCACGCACACATGCCAGTGCAGGAGATATAAGAGATGTGAGTTGATCCTTGGGTTGGGAAGATCCCCTGGAGGAGGGCATGGCAATCTACTCCAGTATTGTTGAGTACTAGTCAAAGCTATGGTTTTTCCAGTAGTCATGTATGAATGTGAGAGTTGGACATAAAGAAGACTGAGTGCTGAAGAATTGATGGCTTTTGTATTTTGGTGTTGGAGAAGACTCTTGCGAGTCCCTTGGACAGCAAGGAGATCAAACCAGTCAATCCTAAAGGAAATCAATTCTGAATATTCATTGGAAGGACTGATGCTGAAGCTGAAACACCAATACTTTGGCCACCTGATGCAAAGAGCCAACTCATTGGAAAAGAAACCCTGATGCTAGGAAAGATTGAAGGCAGGGGGGTGGGGGAGGCGACAGAGGAGGAAGTGGTTGGATGGCATCATCGACCCAAAGGACATGAGTTTGAGCAAACTCCAGGAGATGGTGAAGGACAGGGAAGCCCGGCATGCTGTAGTTCATGGGGTTACAAAGAGTCAGACACGACTAAGCTACTGAAAGACAACAAATTACAATACATTCTTAAGTAAATGTGGTTATGTTATACATCATTTTAATACACATTTCTTGCTTTATATTTTTTTGCTAGTGACTTATTTCTTGCTATTTATTTTATATTTATTTTGGACTGTTGAAATGATGTTAGACAAAAAAGCAAAAATGAGCAGTTTTCTTATTCAGTTTTATAAATGTATCATAAAGCAGCAGTGCCAACTCACAACATCAACAACACATTTGACCCAGGAACTGCTAACAGAAGTACAGTGCAGTGGTGGTTCAAGAAGTTTTGCAAAGAAGACAAGAACTTTGAAGACAAAGAGCGTAGTGGCCGGCCATTGGAAGTTGGCAGTGACCAACTGAGAGCCATCGTTGAAACTCATCCTCTTACAGCTACATGAGAAGTTGCCAAAGAACTCAAAGTCAACCATTCTAAAGTTGTTGAAGCAAATCCATTTGAAGCAAATTGGAAAGGTGAAAAAACTTGATAAATAGGTGCCTCCGTGAGCTGACTGCAAATCAAAAAACTTGTCATTTTGAACTGTCATCTTCCTTTACTCTGTGCAACTACAATGAACCATTTTCCAATGGGATTGTGATGTGTAACGAAAGTGAATAGTGTACAACAACCAGCAGCGACCAATTCAGTGGATGGACCGAGAAGAAGCTCTAAAACTCTTCCCAAAGCCAGACTTGCACCAAACAAAGGTCAGGGCCACAGTTTGGTGGTCTGCTGCCTGTCTGATCCACTACAGCTTTCTGAATGCTCACGAAACCATTACATCTGAGATGTAAGCTCAGCAAATTGATGAAATGCACCAAGAATTGCAAGGCCTGCCGCAGCTTTAATCAATAGAAAGGGCCCAATTCTGCACACCACCACCAAACCACACATTGCACAACCAACATTTCAAAAGTTGAACGAATTGGATTATAAAATTTTGCCTCATCTACCATATTCACCTGACCTCTCGCCAACTGATCACCACTTCTTCAAGCATGTGAATGTTTTGCAGGCAAAATGTTTCCACAACCAGCAGGATGCAAAAAATGCTTTCCAAGAGTTTATTGAATCCCACAGCATGAATTTTTAAAATACAGGAATAAACAAACTTGTTTCTCGTTGGCAAAAGTGGGTTGATTGTAATGGTTCCTGTTTTGATTAATAAGTATGTGTTTGAACCTAGTTATAATGAGTTAAAATTCATAGTCCAAACTGCAATTACTTTTGTACCAACCTAACATTTTCATAAAAGAGAAACAGCATATTACTACATTTACCAACACTCTCTTTTCCTACTTTGTTGGAGGATGACATTTTTCCACATTAATTAATTTTCCAGCATGCTGTAGTGAAAAAAGCTTACGTTTGAAGTCAGGTAGAACTGATTCAAATTCTGCTTTACAGCTATTTAACATTGTGGTCATAGACAAGTCACATAGTTTCTCCATTAACTGATTTTTTAATGTAAAATGGGTGCACATTACCTGTCTTCTGGTGCTCCTCAGAGGGTAAAATGCTCTAGTAGAGTGCCTGGCTGTATTGGTGTTGCGTGGTGACTCCTCCATGTCCCCAGCACCCAGTGCACACCAGTGTCAGAGCACTCAGCACCCTCCTGATGTCTGTTCGTTTGGTTATCTCTAGGGATAGACTCTTTGCTTTTGTTTTTTTTTTTTTTTTACCTCCAGCACTTAAGACAATGTCAGGTATGTTAGGTGAATGAAATAATTTAAAAACTGAAATTTCGTTTTAATACTTTAAAGTGGTAAAAAGTTTAAGTGACGCTATATGGAGTCTATTATAGAATTTTACAGTGACACATCCATTATGCTTGGATATGTTCCCTGATCCAGGGACCCAGTGCCCTGCTAAGACAAATCACTACCAGATCTTACCTGCTTTGGCAACACTGAAGACGGCTCAGTTTTTTACATCTCCCTTAATCCTCCCGGCAACCCTTTGAGCTAGGTGTTACTGTTCTTACCTTAACATGAAGTGATGTCAGTAAGTTAGGTAACTTTCTCAGACTGTATGGCTGCCACAGAGCAGTGTTGCCATTTGAACTCGGCTTTTTTTTTTTTTTTTACTTAAATCTAATGTATTTTCCATGGTATTAAATAAGATAAATACATTTGAAATATTTAGCACAGTGTGTGACACATAATGCCAAATGGTAGTTGCTAATATTATTGTAATATCAAAGCTTCACCACTGAAGGGTTGGGAATCTTCAACAAGCATGTATTAATAAAGCAGTCTCCAATGTATTTGTAAAAACTTCCTTTTAGAATTGAACTCTCTAATACAGCTGCCTTAGTCTTGTGGACTGATGTAGCAGCTCTTGACTCTGGGTCATTGTAACAACTCTGTTAGGATCCCAGAAGGTAGTTGGTGCTTTCTTCAGAGTCTGTTTAATTTATTGATGGAAGAATCTAGGGTTTCTTTCACATACATAGTTGGAGAAGAAATTTTAATTCTCTGCCTCAGTTTCTCTCTGCTTAGAACTCTGGGCCCTGAGTCCTCAGCCTCTCTGGGATTCTGCAAGATGGATTGATCCACAGCTCTAGCTGTTTTGAGGTCAGAATTTTGCCATGAATCAGATATGGTGTGCTGAGTTAGTGGTTGCCCTTGGGCTTCTTAGAGGTGTGGCGTGCGTGGGCTTCTTAGAGGTGTAAATGCCACCTCTGTTTACCCCAGTACACCCTACAGATACTACCATTTTCTTTATGTGTGCTCAAACTTAAAAGTGTTACAAAGCCTTTCCCTAGCTTTCAGCTTCTTCAGTCCTCTTTTTATCAATTATCATCCTACTGTCTATTTTTTGTCTTCCAGAAATTAATTGAAATTTTTCATCTCATGACTTTTCTTTCATTTTTTTAACATTATGAGTTTATACTGTTTGTAACCCTTTACTCTTGTATTAGTGGGCTCTTAGAGGAAAAGAAGATATATGCCAAAGTCAGGCTGACGTTCTTAAATGAAAATCAGATTTTTAAAAAAATTTATCTTTACTAAAGTATTTTTGATTTTTAACAGATAGCACATATTTCTGCTGAGACAGTTTGGTACATTTTGACATGTGTATTAAAACCATCACTACTACCTACTCTACCTATGAAGAAACTGATACTTGAAGGAGCCTAGAAGCTCAGATTGGAACCCAGGCTTGTCTGATGTCAAGTTCCATGCTGTGGGCTCTGAAGTCTGAGTTCTAGCTGGGAAAACAATTGACTGTTTCTCATTTGCAAGGGAAAGAATGCAATCTCTGAATAAAACTGCTGCTGCTGCTGCTAAGTCACTTCAGTCGTGTCCGACTCGGTGCGACGCTATGGATAGCAGCCCGTTAGGCCCCTCTGTCCACGGGACTCTCCAGGCAAGAACACTGGAGGGGGTTGCCATTTCCTTCACTGGATCTAGCTACTCATTTCTTTAGTAAGAGGGTTGTGCTAAATGGTCCTAATGTCTTTCTCAACTTCAGGTTTTTGTACTTCATGTATGTTTCCTATGCAGAAGTGGTAAATCTCTGTTCAAATACATTTTTTTCAATTAAATGAAACTGTACTATTCTCTGTAATTTTCAAGTGGAGCTATATAAGACATTAAGAATAGTATTTTTTTTCTTTTTATAGGAAGGCGTTTAAGAAGCTCTTGGAGTAATATGAGTCAGAGTAATGTAGGATCTGCAGGAAGTCCCTCAAGATAGTTGGTGAGACAATATGAATTTTTTCAAAGTGTATTGTATAATTATTTTGCAGACATTCTGACTATAAAATTCCTAGTTTTGTGCTCACAAGAGACGTTCTGCTCAGTCTTTTATTATTATGTGGTTTTTAAGCTTAGTAATGGTGGAAGCTACAATAGTTACCTAATACTTAACTGTGTTCTTCACTTCTGCTAAAAAATGCAGATTTTTATATAATGATATAGATATAGTCCTGTAACTCCATCTAGCTATCTATCTATAGAACTATCTTTATAGTTCTCAAATATTATCAGCAATGACTAAAATGCCATAGCCTAAAATATATAAAATACATCTATCATCTATACACGGGCACATTATTATTTACATGCCAAGTATATGTAATGTTTTTATGCAAAGCTGAAATCAAATTTGACTGTTCTAAGATATGACAATTTATTTTCTACTTCTCCAATCTTAGGAAAAAGAAGAATTTATAGACTCTTCATCAAGATCTTCATTTTCGCAGCTGTTAAATCCAAGGCTACAGTTGTGGTGAAACCATGAATAAAAATACATTTTCTGTAGTATCATCCAGTCTACTTGAAAAGTAATTTCTAAATTAAATTTAATATGTTTTGAAGTATCATAGTTTAAAATATGTAGAATATTAATTTTAGGAGAAAAGTTTCATATAGCTAACTACCTGTGGTGTAAGATAGTGGCAATAAAAAGGTTGATCAGTAATTACCTTCCACTGTAAATCAAGGTATAGGATAAATCCTGCGTTCTCTTTTAGAATTATTTATAGAGCTGGATTTTTAAAAATTTGATTTTTTAAATATCTAAAGTATTTTATATTTCCAGTATAACTATAACATAATGTAAGATTAACATTTGCTGAGTAACAAACAAGCTCTAATACCTTAAAACAAGCAAGCATTTATTCTTTGTCATGATTCTGTGGACAGTTCTGGTCTGCACCGGCTCCAGTAGGATGGCCTCACAGATGTGTTCTGGGGCCTCGTTTGGGAAGGTTGGATGGCTGAGGTCCCTTTCAGCCTGGTCTCCCACCCTCCAGGCAGCTAGCTCAGACTTTCTCACATGCTGCAGAGTGGTTCCCAGCAGCAAGCATGAGTGTTTTTCAAATGTCTGTTTTCCTCACATTTGCTTATGCACCCTTGACTGAAGCAATGTAGATAACTAAGTCTAAATTCAAGGTCTAGAGTTACAGACTTTACTTTTTGATGGAAGGAACAATAAAGCCACATTCTTGGGGGCATCCAGACAGAGATGGGAAGAATTGGTGGACATTTTGCAAACATGTAACACACATATAACAAAGTATATTCAGAGAAGTCTTTCTTTCAGTCTTATCCTTCTTTCTGTGCCCTCTTTCTCCTATAAATAGCCATCTTTTTCTTAATTCTTTTTCAGTGTTTCTTTTTGAATGAACAAATACATATCCATATAAATATATATGCATGTCATATATGTATGTGTGTATATAATTATATTTTTTCTCAAAACGATTATTTATTCTGTATAAAGTGCTACTGGACATTAGACATTCTTCTACTCTTGCTTACTTAGTAAAGGAGTGTACACCAGTGTTGACTCAAGTTTTAAGGTCTTTCCTAGAGAATGGTTTCAGGTCAGTTAAACTCAGTGTATCTTTCTCTGATGCCTCTTCCTGGGAGCCCTGGGAAGCTCCAGTCTCCTAGAGACAAAAGCCAGGCCCAGCTGTGCGGTAGATGAAGAATTCTGTCCACAGTGCTCCATGCGCTGGTACTGAACAGCTTTGCTCTGTGACAGCACAGAGTTTTATTCAACTACTTAAGGCAAAATAAAGCTAATGAGAAAGAAGCATATTACTAAGGCAAGATGTCCTAAAACACCCAATATCCCAGGCCCCACTTGCCAGTGCATTCTTAACAAAAAGGTAGCATATTATATATAGTGGTATTTTCTGTTGTTTTTTTTTAGAAATAATTTTATTTGTTTATTTTTGGCTGTGCTGGGTCCTCATTGCTGGTTGAGCTTTTCTGTAGCTGTGGAGAACTGGGGCTGCTCTCTAGTTGTGGTGCGTGGGCTTCTCACTGTGGTGGCCTCCTCTTGTAGACCACAGGCTCTGGAAAGCAGAGGCTCCAGTCATCGTGGTTTTCAGGCTCTAGAGCACAGGCTGGATGACTGTGGTGCACAAGCTTAGTTGCTCTGTGGCTTGCAGGATCCTCCTGGACCAGGGATTGAACCTGTGTCTCCTGCACTGGCAGGTGGACTCTTTACCACCGAGTCAACAGGAAAGTGAAAGTGGAAGTCCCTCTGTCATGTCTGGCTCTCTGCGACCCCATGGGCGGTATACAGTCCACGGGATTCTCCAGGCCAGAACACTGGAGTGGGCAGCCTTTCCCTTCTCCAGGGGATCTTCCCAACCCAGGGACCGAACCCAGGTCTCCCGCATTACAGGTGGGTTCTTTACCAGCTGAGCCACAAGGGAAGCCCAGCAATACTGGAGTGTGTAGCCTATCCCTTCTCCAGTGGATCTTTCTGACCCAGGAGTCAAACCAGAGTCTCCGGCATTGCAGGTGGATTTTTTACCAACTGAGCTATCAGGGAACCCCTGAATCACCAGGGAAGTCCTGTATATATGATATTTTGAACAGCCCTTTTGTAAACTAAAGTTATGTCCTAATGGTCACTTCATATTGGTTTATAAAGTTCTTCCTTGTACCTTGTTGTAGGTGTATAGTATTCTGTTCTTAATATGTCAATACCATAGTTTATTTATCCAGTACCTTACTGATGGACATTTGAACTGTTTGCAGTTTTTGGTGATTACAAATTATGCCAAATAACTAACCTAGTATACAAGTCATTTTGTATTTGTCGCCAAATTATCTTTGGGAAAGATTCCAAAAAATGAGATTGTTGGATTAGTGGGTAAACTGTTGTTTAGTTGCTAAGTCGTGTCCGACTCCTTTGCCACCTCGTGGATGCAGGCTTCTCTGTCTATGGGATTTCCCAGGCAAGAATTCTGGAGTGAGTTGCCATTTCCTTCTCCAGGGGATCTTCCTGACCCAGGGATCAAACCCATGTCTCCTGTACTGGCAGGTGGATTCTTTACTACTGAGCCACCGGGGAAGCCCAGAGGGTAAATTAGAGATTGCTAAATCCCCTCTTCAGAGGTTATACCATTTTTGATTACCACCAACAATGTGTAGGAGTAACTGTTTCCTAAAGCCTTGTCATATATTGTCAGAGTTCTACATCTACATTGATCTGATTAGGTAAAAAGCAGTATTTCTGCCTGGATTTAGCTTGTAGATTCTGTTACTATGATTAAATTTGAGCAGCAGAACTATTTTTAATTGCAAAAAAAAATTAAGTAATGTAAATTCTTAACAAGGAGAGACTTAAAAAATTTTTGTTTTATTTAGTTATTTGTTTGGTTGTGTTGAGTTTTAGTTGCATCATGTGGGATTTAGTTCCTTGACCAGGGATCAAACCCAGGCCCCCTTAATGGGAACACAGAATCTTGCACTGGACCACCAGGGAAGTCCCACAATGAGGGAATTTTAAAGCAAGGTCCTAGCAAGTAAATACACTGCTGTGTTAATCATAGATACTCTGCTGGGGTTAGAAAAGGAGGAATACTTTACTGAAATAGTAATGTGTGCTGGAGATCGTGTGTACCCCCATTGAGGGGAATTCACATTTAGACAGTTTAAGAGGTTATTGGAGGTGCCTAATGAGACCTTTGTCCCCTTTCTCCTTCATCTCCCCCGCTTCTAGGCTTCATCTCTTTATTTCTTTGCAGCCTAATCTCCCGTCAAGAGAGATTTTGAAATCTGACAATAGAACATTTTCTGCCTTTTTCCCTAGCTAACTGACTATTACCCTAGTAACCACATAGGCCCTCTTACCCTAGGGTTGAATTCAGTGTAATACAACCATAACGGATGTGCTCTGTGCTATATAAAGATCAAAATACTCAAAAATATGGATTTGTTTTTTAAGTTTAAACATTTTAAATTTGTTTTTTAAAGTTTTAACTTCTTTCATTATACTTTTCTATGATTTAACTTTTGAATACAAGTCCTCATAAAGATATAACTAGAATTTCTATGGCAAAAGTTAAATATAAAAAATTTTTCAAAGCTGTAACCTTATGTAAAATATGAACTAACTCTTGTTAACAGTGGTTTCTGTGATGGCACATTTGAAGACAGCTAGCAGCAGCAGCAGCAGCAGAAGTCCTGTATTTAACAATGGCTTAATGTACCAGTGAAGCATTGAGGTTGAGGTGATCGTAGACCTTAGGACCACACTTTGGCTCTGGAGCGAGACAGACCAGGCTCACATTGCTGTTCTCCGGCTTTGTAACTTTAGGCCACCAAGTCAACCTGCCCAGACTTGGGTTCTTTTAGGAAAAAGAGGGTAATAATCTTAGGGATTTTATAAACATTAAATGAATTGAATAGCATAATGTGTGAATATTGCTTAGCACAATACCCACTACACCATAAGTAAGCCCTGAGCTTCATTTCTTACTTTACTCAAGTTCTCTTGGACCAATAAAAGTCTGTTCTGACCACTATTCAGAAACACAACTTGGGATGCGGGGAGGGTGTACCTTTTGCAGAATTCTTTTTAACAGTTCCTTCTTTCCTAGTAGCATCACTTTTATGTCCAGCAGAAATCACAGCTGGAGCATGTGCTTTGTACCAGGAAAATACTCTTAAACAATAAACTGAGGGTTTTTTGTGTTTTTTTTGAGATTCAAATTAAGGTTATATTTATTTTGCTTGAAATGGCCACAAGCGTGTCTTTTAAAAGTCCCTTCTCCGATTCATTAAAGTGTTTCGTTTTGGAATCCTAAAGTGTAGTAAAAAGTCAGTTTAAAGCAAGTCTCTGCAGTTACCTTTAATCTTTAAGTTTGTTTAAATAATATTTTTAAAGTATTCTTCTACTCCAAAGAAATAAGCATTATTGCTGTAATTTCTCTTATTGTTTGGTTGTTTTACAGAAAAATTAGAATTAGGGCTAAGAAAATTCATTTGATTGCCTTTGTATGATCATACTTTTAAAAATGTCATTGCTAGTATGTACTGGGTATTTGAATTATCTAGGCCTAAGAAGTTAACAAAGAGTTTAAAGAAAAAGTAGGTACCCATCTCTGGGCAGGGTCTCCTTGGTGGACCACCATCTCTAGGCTAATTTATGCATGCTAATTTACTTTATCTTAGGGATCCTGCCTTTCAGATGATTACAGTTACCAAGAAAACAGGCCTTGGTCTGAAGATCCTAGGAGGAATTAACCGGAATGAAGGTCCATTGGTATATATTCAGGAAATCATTCCTGGAGGAGACTGTTACAAGGTAAAAACGAAGATAAAATAACTCTTCACCTAAAAGACAAAACCACTAGTGATGAGGTTTGTTTCGTCATCAGTAAGTTTTTTATGTTAATTTAGTGTCCACTGTGACCATTTCTCAGTGAAAGACACGGAGAGTGGAAGTAGGCCTTGACACTCAAGGAGCTTTAACTTAACAAATGCATAAGAAAAAAATGAATTAAATATGAAAATAGCAGATTTTAAGCTCTAACTAAAGGCTATATATTTTTAATTATATGCTGTTCAACTTTTATTCTAAGTCTGAGAGAAATCATATCTAAAGACATGTTCTCTATTCATTGCTCTGAGTTTGGGTTAACTTAGATCAGTTAAACTCTGTTCATTTGGCCTCTCTTAAATGAAAAGCAAAACTAAGCAAATAAAATCTACTCATTTGTGAATTTGCAGTAATTCTTGATAAGTTTGTTGTCACTTACTAGTTGTCCATATGAGAAATTAGATTTAGAATTAAGGATAGAAAATATCTTTTTTAGGAATGAGAAAGCCTTACTCTTCTCATCACTGTAAGAAATACGTAAATCATGAATTCGTCTTTGCTCTTGTTGCTAGGAAGCTCAGATTTATATTTGAAGCACCTAGTTAACAAACTGGTTACTATATTTTCGTGCTCATTTCTCTTGAATTTCATGTTATTTCTGTTTTGCTAACATGATTCTATATTTCTTTTGTTGAAAATTTCTTCCAATCCTTTTTGGAGAGATATAGTATATAAAGAATTTAATAAAATAGTCTATTAATATCAAGCTATTTAACATGAGACAGGATCCTCTTACAAAGTTTGTTTATATTGTTCTTATTCTAGTTGTTTTTGTTGAATAAATAGTCCTACCCTTACCCCCCAGTCCTATCCTGAACACTGTTTAGCAAACAGTTTGTTTATTCAAGTGGATTTTTTTCCATGTTGGGGAAAAAAAAAAAATCAATTTAACCAAAACTTTCAAAGCAATATACTTAAATTTTCTCAGCCTTGTGAAGATAATACAGTGTCTTCCTAATACACTTAACCAAGCTGTAAGTGTTATACAGTAAGTATAGGATATTGTCTCTGGAGTAGGAAATCACAACCCACTCTAGTATTCTTGCCTGGAGAATCCTGGGGACAGAGGAGCCTGGCAAGGTACAGTCCATGGGGTCGCAAAGCGTCAATCAGACACGACTGAGCAACTGAGCATACAAACATACAATAGGATATTATAATGATATAATTTTGGGCTTCTGAGTTTTATTTATTAACTAAGAGCATACTTAAATGCTAAATTTAAACAAATTCAAACAAACAAAAGAGAAAATTTTTCTTTTAAGAATTGAGATATATTACTTTAGTTTTAAAGCTAAAGGGTGTGTGTATTCAGTATGGCTAAGCTATTTCTTAGACTATACTTGAAGTAATGCAGTGGATTATGGTACCTAACAAGTGATAAGAATTTACTTTTAAGACAAACATCAATTTGTGCTTTTTTTCCCCATGAAAAATATTTGTACTTAGAGTAATAGTAGTGACTAGGTGCTGAGTGACTCATCTCCTGTCAACAATCACTGAATAAGAAATTATACCTGTAATATACATTTTCTCTTGCTGATTTTCTGAGAATTTCGTTGTTTGAAAGGTTATTAGAAAGCAAAACCATGTAATAAAGTATATTCTGTATTTACCACTAGAGAGCAGCATTGAGTTATTAATGTATTTTTACAGTATTTGGTTGTGTCCAAGAGAAGAAAATTGCCAAAATAGAGAAGGGTGTAGACAGAGAAGAATAAGTGAGTTTGCAATGCTTACAGTTGCTTTTATGTTCTTCCTCAAGATGGAGAAGTACATACATTTTTTGCTCTGAAAAGACAAAGTAATTCAATTTTGTATAAAAATATTTTTAATGAATAATATAATTTACTTTGTTCTAAATACTGTGTTCTTGCCCAAAAAATCCCCATGGACAAAGGAGCCTGGTGGACTACAGTCTATGGTGTCACAAAGAGTTGGATACAATTGAGCGACTAAACAACAGCAACAACAAATACTGTGTTAGGCTTCTTAATAAACTTCTAATCTGCACACATTTCTGCATGTATATTCACAGAATAGGAAACAGAGGCTCATAGGTTATCCTTATTAAGTTGGTACACTGAGCAACTGTTAATATTTTTTAAATGCATATGAGTACTTTCACTTGCTGTAATTTTAACATTATATTGTTTCAGAGTTAATAATATAGCCAATCTCAAGCTTATAGATAGATTATATTTAATTTATATTTCCAAACTTTTATAGATAGGGGGTTGTTGGAATTAATTATCTTTAGTTAATCATGGCTAGCTGCCCCCCCTTCCCCTCATACACACACAAAAATATTTTTCCTCTTGGAAGATATGAAATAAAATACTGGTTAAGTAACCAAAATGGTCATGTTTCTTTGAAAAAAACATATTCAGAGTTCAAACTTGAAACATCTTGAAATGTTTTTGCTGCTTTAAGTAGGAAAGAAGATTCTTGATTGTCCCAACTCTAAGAACAAGAGGTAGCCTATTGGTTAGGAACAACTATAATAGGTACTGAGTTAAGGGAAGGATTAAATATGGGAACTCCAAGGCTCTTTTCTCTCCACCAGCCAATTCCGTATCAGTTTGGAGTCCTCAGTGTTCAGTCTTAGAAATTTTGGGGAGTGGGACATTCCTTTGACCTTCATACACACATATCCAATTGCCTGATCCACATCTTCACTTGGATCTCTTCAAGGCATCTCACATACAACTTGTCTGAGGCAGGATTTATGATAGTCATGTCGTACCTTCCATCTACCCATTTCTACCCAAATAGGCCTTCTGCCAGTGTTCCCAGTTTCTGTGAATAACACCTTCCAATTGCACAAAGTCACAAAACCAGATCTCCTCCTAAATACTTCCTCTCCCTTAACACCCATATCTAATTCATTAGTACTTACTGTTGACTGTTTCTAAATAGCTCTTGAATTCATCAGTCTTCTTGATCTCCACTGCCATCACCTTTGTTTAAGTTGTCATCAGTTTATATCAAACCTCACAGAGAGCTTTGTCTGCTCTTATGCACCATTCCTATTTCCCTCTCAACCAAGCCTACTAATATTTAATTGGCTACAAGGCTCTGTATAGGGTGACTTCTGCCCCTCACTTCTCTGACTCACCATTCCTGCACTTTCAGAGTAGCATTCTTTCAGTCCTTGGAAGGGGCCAGTTTCTTTCTCATCTTGTATGCTGCTCCCCCTGACTATCACTACCCCATGACTTTTAAACATGAGCCCAAAGACCCCTTCCACAGAGAGGTGTTCCCTGTGTTCCCCGCACCCACGCCACCACCCAAGTCTGGGGCCAGGTGTTTCCTGTCTGCACGCCTTTCCTTCCTGTCTCCTGTCTGTTTGTTTCTCACCTTCATAGTCACCAGGGTCAGCTTGTGATCGTACATCAGTACCTGTGACTGTGTTTACCAGCTCTGCCTGAACCACAAATCTGAGGATGTCTCCTAAGTGCACAGACCTTATCTGTTTTATTCACAATAATATCTTTAGTCCCTGGCATGGTACCTGACACATATTGATTACTAAATTAATAACCAATGAATGAGTAATTCTTTAGTCATGTTGCTGAGAATTACTGATTTGCCTGTTGACCTTTCAACTGCCACTATCTGGGCTCCACACCAAAGTGCCTTTTCTTCCTAGCTCTTTGTGTCTAATTCTGAACAATACTTTTTTTTTTTTCCTTTCTCTGCTAGTACTGTAAGGAGAGCAGGCAGGAATCAGACATTTTTCTTCAAACCCGATATATTTTGTTTACCTGATTCTAGACTACACACACACACATACAGTCAGCTCTCCATATCCTTAGATTCCAAAGCTATGGGCTCAACCAACCTCAAATTGAAAATATTCAAAAACACAAATTCCAGAAAATTCCAAAAAGCAAACTTGAATTTGCCATAAGACAATCATTGACATAGAGTCTGCATTGTATTGGGTATGACAAGTAATCCAGAGATGATTTAAAGTGCACAGGGAGGGTATGCATGGATTTCATGCCGCTATCACAGCATTTCATGTAAGGTGCTGAGCATCCGTGGATTTTGGTATCCAACACCGAGAAGTGACTGTGTGCATATAGAAACACACCAATATTTATAAAACAGGTGTATAGATGAGTAGTCACATGTGTATGTACATGCACATGTGTGCATGCGCTCAGCTTAGCACGCGCTAAGTTGCTTCAGTCATGTCTGACTCTTTGTGACCCCATGGACTGCAGCCTGCTAGGCTCCTGTGTCCATGAAGACACAGGCACGAATACTGGAATGGGTTACCATGCCCTGCTCCAGGGGATCTTCCCAATCCAGGGATCAAACTCGCATCTTTTATGTCTCCTGTATTGGCAGGTGTGTTCTTTACCACTAGCACCACCTAGGATGTTCTGTACACACACATAGGGGTTTCTGTGTGTACATATGTCTATTTGTATATTCTCTCCAGCATCTCTGAAATTGAAATGGATCTTATAGTAAATGTCATAGTGTAACTGACAGTGTATTTTCTCTTAGCATTACATAAAATAATGGTGTATCTCATAATCAGTATTATGGATCTTAGATGTGATATATTCAGGATTTTTTTTTTGGTCCAATCTTACAGATTAAGGCAAAGATCATATAAATGGATACTAGTAGTCATTGCTCACAAAGGATTATAGCTGGACATATCTAACTTTGAAAAGAAATCTATTTTCAGGATATGGTGTGTCACTGGAACTGGGACAAAGGCTTTTTGGCTAGGTAGGACAAAGGTCTCTAGATGACAAGGGGCAGAGAAACCAATCCTTTGGTGGGAGCTAAAGCAGTAGCAGCCAAGAGGATTCACATTTCAATGTCATGCACTTTTCTCCTTTGCCCCTGTTATTTGTGTTAGAGCCACCTTAATTTCCTCAGTGTTTCCTGGGCCTCTTTCA